TCACACACGCGTGTAAATGGCGTCAACGTGTTTGATTGACGGCAGTCTATTGCAAAGTGCACGTCGCGATTTTTGTCTGGGGTGGCCGCGTAGCAATGCAAACGCCGGTAATGCGACCTGTTTTTAAAAAGTTTCGTTTTTTTTTTCAGGTTCATATGTCATACCTTTATAGAATGGACAATGACGAATACCTAATGATGTGCATAAGCATCTATTGATATACATAAGAAAGGTCTCCGATTTTTATTGTTAATCAGATGAACGTCACAATATTGCGTGACACAAATTCAACCTCCATAATTCGGCGTCCAAACATAGGAAGACACGAAACTTTTCCTAAGCCTTGAATCTTTGATTCCTTGATATATTTATTATTACTTTTTGAATATGAGGCATGGTTTGAGTTTAAATTTTTGATGACGTCACGTAAAAGCCAAGAATAGCTTTGTACCGAAGATTTTAAATTCYGACTACAAATGAATATGAAATTTTCATAAGACTAGACGCGTGGCTACTTGACCTTTTACGGTCAAATATATTCATATATCTCTCTGTTATACTCAAAAATGCCTCCTAAAAGTGAAAAGGACTCCGTTTCTTGTGTTTTTTTGTTTTTGTTTTTGTTTTTTTTGCAAGAAATAAACCATATACTAAATAGCGTCATGCTCGGTTCATTATATATTCATTTATTCATGAACTCACGAATGCTGTAAATAGTCCTAGCGTCTTTAGTTCTGGAAGTTAGAGAATTAACGGGCCAAAAACGATACTTGGTACGATGAAAGCCCAATGATAGGGCTTTCAAAAAATATTAAAATTTATGTGGAAAAAAATATACYCTCTTCAATATAGCGTCGCAAACTAACCTCAATTTTAGGCTCGAAGCTTATCGCTCCTAGTTGGTGGAAGTTGATGGCAGAGATCTTAGCTTGAATTCAACAGATGTCAAAGTGATTTACATCTTTGGAAACAAGAAATGATGAACAATGTACGGACAAAATTTCAATGCCATAGGATTTTTCCTTAGAGCACGAGCACTCCCTAAACATGCCTAATTTTATGGAAATAGAGTCGCCGGAAAATGACTGTCGGCGGTTCTTTTCAACTTTCGCGAATTTTGAAAAAARTAAAAATCGCCAGACTTTTTGGTCATACATTTCGAAGACTACCCACCCAAAGGTATCTTTTGGTAAAATAAAATGGAATTTGATTTTTTGGTTTTGTCCGGCGATTCTCGACCCTTACAGACATTCGCTCTTAATATCAAAGATAAGAAGCCATGCTTTAGAAAAATCATTACAAGTCTTGACATAACAAATTAGCAGACACTTATTTTGCATTTATCACTTCAAATAAAACCGACTTTTGTTTACGTTCAACTTCAATTGGCACAGGAGGCAACCGGGACTCAATATAAATAATATCGACCCTAGCCAATAGTTATTCATGTGTTCTTGTTCATGTGTTCTTGCTACAGAAAAATAATAAATCCCTCTCGAGAAAAACTTACGTACAATTATCTGTAGATTTGATCAATAATACATATGATAATATAAGATTTGAGGAAAGATTTTACTATAGTACAATATTTAAAGCCTTTGATATAAAATATGTACTGATTTAATCCTAATAAGATGGTCGGAAGTTCGTAGAAAGCATTTGCTGAGCTAGCTTTGCAGATCTTTGTTCATTAAATCATAGCCGTGACTAGCATATATTCGTAATAGACAGATCAGTATGAGTTTCATTGATATTTTTTGGAATAAATTTCGTAGTCGTTTTGTACAATAAAGTTTTTTTAAAAGAAGAACGAATGACAGGAATCGCTGTATTTTTTCTTGTGCAAAGAACAAGACATTTAAACAAAAAGGAGCGTCTTTCGAAACGTGACAAAAATAATGAATTAGAAAAGAGTTTCCCCGAATGTCATTTTCTTTATTTTGTTGTTTACAAAAACCTTTTTCAAGCGCTAATGAACGAGCCTTCTTTCAAAACTTGTGATGTTTGTATGAATTCAATAAAGAGGCTTTGTTGGACTTTGAATGGATTTGAATCGACGTGGAAAAATTAATATCTTTGCAAAGTCGTACTTACACAACATGTTCCTGGTTGACAGCGAAGTTCGTGTCTTGCTTGTTGGTTTTCCCCTTGCTGAGCTGCAGAACTGCAGTAAAACACATCCGAAAATATTAAAATGCGATTGGAAGTAATTACTCTAGCTTTTATTTAGTAACCAATGACCCTAACGTTTGATAAACACCACTGTTTTTTTTTCTCCTTATATATTCACAGCTAACGAAAACACTTTTCAAACGTACTTACACAAACGTTAATTTTTCATTTACCTTAACGTTGGTGAGACGAAATCACGAGTGGACAAACACAGGAACAGCAGAAGTATTGGTATTATTAGTGCCATGGTTGCCGTTCTGTCTTGAAGTGTCTTAAATTAATTCTTGCGCTGTTTCGGCGACCGGAAATCGAGACAGTCGGTGATTATTTATTCCAATTGGGCTTTGCTCACAACTCTTTGGGTCCACAAAGCAAAGAACAAATTTATAAAGCGTAAAAGACAATAGCAATATTGTCAAACAACAATTGATTAAGATTAAGATAGTTTATTATGGTAATTCCAGGACTTGGAGCTGTGATAGTTTGGAGCACCCAAAATTTGGTCTTTGCCATCAATCTGGTACAAAAAGGTCTCGAAATGGGAAATAGTTTGGCATAAGAAAGTTAAAAATATTTAGGCACGAACCTGTAAATATAGAACTGGCTTATCATTACTAATCAATAGTGTTACAAGTCGTTCTCTACTTGTGTCATCCCGTTATACAAGATAATATCATTGACCTTTTYCACAGCTGAACGCAGTAAAAGGAATAATTTATGCATGCACACAAGCGTTTCTCTTTAAATGCAAATGTAACTAGAGTACATAAATTTAAAGTCATGATTTAAACCTTAGTGAATCTGCCTATCGTATCGCATGCTTTGAAGAATTTAGAAAAATGATAAATGAATTTTTTTTCGTTTCTTTATTTATCTGCCGTCATTATAAATTCTAGTTAGTAATAACTGACATTTCTGGCTTTTAAAGGCTTTTAATAAAGCCTAGCGCGAGAACAGATACGATATTTCGTTTAATTTTTTCTCGCCCAAGATCGAAATCTCCGACATATTACCGCTCATTACATATGAAAACAAAAGTTGGATAGATAGCATTTTGCCGCGCGCGGTCAGAGAACGTGTGCAAGACATGGTCGAATTGGTCACATATCTCAAGTACGATCTTAAACAGATGTGAAGATGATTGTACTGATCGATCTGATGTACTGCTATAAATGCCGCTCTCTGGACACCACACGATGGTTTTTTCGCCATAATTTCTTATCGCCCGATTATCATATATGCACTCGATCATTGATGCATTTATAATCTTATTTGATTTAGGTCTTTTTTGAGATCCATTTTCTGATTTTACGCCCCATTTTGTTTTCTTGATATTTTCCCGCGTGGGCTTCCTGTCTCTATATCAGTCTCGGTTTTGACTGCGACAGGTAGCCCAGAGGAGAAACGGTATAGATACTAAAGGCGCTTTCCTTCAGGTCTAACCTTTCCAGTCCGAGCGGCGGCCAGTTCTCGAATGGTATGCGTCAGTTCTTTAGAACTGGTTAGCCAAGGTCTCAAAACAAATGACAACTGACGCGTACCATTTGAGAACTGGCTGCTTGGACTGGTCGGTTCGACTTAGCAAGCGCCCTAAGAGAAATGCCTGCAAAGAAGGTTAATAATAACTTTGCTGTCGTATGATTGGAGTTAAATCACATTTGAGTATTTTTAACACAAGTGAATTTAATAAATAACGGAGAGATATTTTTCTTCTTCAAATTTTATTTATATCTGCAAGTGGAACAAATCAACAAACGAGAGTGCGCTTGCGCGAGTTATATTCACCTGTGGGTGAATATGACAGCATAAGACGTACATTGTGACCAATGAGCGCGCCTGATTTATTATATTCACTTCTGTAAATATAGTAATAATTAATAATGTAATTAATAATTTGACAACACAGTGTATTTAACATAATGAACATCATCACTTTAATATGGTGATAGTTCTTAATGTATCCATCAAGTAAAGTAAGAGCCCTTTACAGTGACGAAAAGCTCCTATCAAGCCATGGTTTCTCTTAAAATCGACTGAAATCTTCGGTAGAAGCTGGGAATGATGAATGAAGACATCTTATCCTCCATGGTATTTTGGCAGAGGAAAATTATGGACCAGTGAAAAAGATCGTGTTGGGCTGCCCCGGTAATTTTCCCCTCATTTTAGTAGAAGCCTGAAGAAAACTCGAAGTTATCTGAAAAGCGAGCTAATTTGCGTACCTTCCCTTATTTTAGGACAAAAACTAAAAACGTCTGATCACGTTATAACACTAAAATAATTTTGTTCAACTTAGCGATAAAATGTTATTGTTTTCATTTCACGTTTACAAATGGTTGGGTAAACAAAAGCTACGATGCAATAATGTTTGATGAACATCAATACCCAAACTTCCAAACACACAATGATAATTGATCTTGAAACATCTGTGTTCGAATAACGCTTTTTATATCTTACACCTTCTCTTGTGTATATTCAAAATCTCTGCGTTAAGAAAGTCCACCATCGGCTGCGTAAGAGATGACATTGATTTTTCGACGAGATTTGACGCCCATCGTGGAAAACATTTAGCCTTTAATCAAGAGTACATTTGCTCAACCGAGAACCCATTGTTTGTTCCCTTAGGCAGTTTTAACTAAGCAGTTACCATTTACTCGACGATAAAATTATATCCTATCAGCGATGCCACAGGGCAAAGTTTGAATCCGACAGCGCTCCCAAAAGAACGTCATTCTTTGAGTTTATAAACCTCACTCTCGGACAAACCATGTGGGATTATTCTCACGCATGCGCTGTGTACGTAATTGTCGTATTCGATGGAGCCATGGATTTTACTTCTTGACGACTTGTCATTAGTATAAAAAGTCGAATTGATGTTGTTAATCTCAACTGATTGGTAACGGTCGCACAACTTCTTCTGCAAGGTACGAAGGAAAACGAGAAGATTAGAAACATACCGTTCATTTTTTACGACAACTGGGAGGCTGGTAGATTTGGGGGGGGG